TGCAAGCTCTGGGTATATCACTTGCCAGTTCTGAAGAGTGGGGTGGGACATGGGCATCCTCTTGGAAAATATCGTCCATAAAAGTTAATGATGGGGGCTTTCTAGCTTCTGTGCTATGCTGAGATAATTAAGGAAGGGTGTGATGGGCACCGTGGCAGCGTTTCCCTGCTGGGAAGACAGTGCCATGCAGATCTGCTTAGATACTTGCTATTCTGAGCGGGGCTTGGTTCAGCCACGGCTTTATTTACAGCTGAAGGTCCCTGGCGAGGCTTTTCGAGAGAGCACATGGGGGCTCTTCTCCAGGAGGGAGCGAGTGTCTCAGAATAAGGGTGGAGCCTACGCTGGCAGAATGAAGCAGTCGGCTGGCTGACACTTGTTCTACCATGGGGCTAATTTCGGAGGCTTCTTCTTCATTGTGGATCGGGATGGAAAACACTTTGATCACTTTAAGCCTTTGTCCTGGTCATTCTGTTGCATCCGCTTCAGACCCTACTGGTGGGTAAACATTTGATGTCAGTTCTTAAAACAGGATAGTGCAGAGCAGAGGACAGGAGACCCCCTATCCCTCATCAAAATCTGCATAAAAGTCAGCAAGAAATGCTAGAACATAAAGGAACAGACAAACAGGGATGGTTTGGAAGACAGGAGATGTAATGGAAGCAGAGGTGGCTGTCAGAGCCCCACCTGTGTCTCTTCAGCTCTGGGCATTATGGTCTAGTAGGGCTGATTTCCATCTGCCAGTCTCTGCATCCCTCTGCCTGAGGGCTTTTGTAGATGGCAGAGCCTGGGACAAGCTGGAAGTACTGGAGAATTAGTGCCTTGCTTCAAGGAGCCCTTAACGAATGACTGAAGGCAACTGGGGTATACCCCAGCTCCCTTGCCCCTTCTGGCAATACTCTGACACAAGTATTTTACATTGGCTCTATGGTTCTGGGTTGGATTAATATCCAGTTTTCTCCTTATCCCAGTAGGGGTTTTGCACGCTAACACACTGTTTACTGGCTACTTTTTCTCCCCTATCTCACTTCCTCCCTCCTATGACTGCATCCTGGAATCACCTCCTAAATAAACTATCTGCACTCACACCCTCAAGGTAAAGTCTGTCTTTGAGGAAACCCAAACCAGCACATGGACTGAATGCTGATAGATGAAGACCTGGTGTTTACTTGTTCCGAAGCTCTGTCTATACGTAGACAGAAGGGTGCATACAGATACGCAACGTCCAATGTGCTGGCACACAGCACATGTTTGGCCACGTGCAAAATTTAATTTCCTTAAGTTTTTTATTTAAGTTTTTGTTTTATGTTTTTTAATTAATTTATTTTTTAAAATTTATTTTATTTTTGGCTGTGTTGGGTCTTCGTTGCTGCGCACGGTCTGTCTCTAGTTGCGGCGAGCAGGGGCTACTCTTCATTGCAATGCACGGGCTTCTCATTGTGGTGGCTTCTCTTGTTGTGAGGCACGGGCTCTAGGCACGCAGGCTTCAGTAGCTGTGGCACACGGGCTCAGTATTTGTGGCTCGCGGGCTCTAGAGCGCAGGCTCAGTAGTTGCGGCGCATGGGCTTAGTTGCTCCGCAGCATGTGGGATCTTCCCAGATCAGGGCTGGAGCCCACATCCCCTTCATTGGCAGGTGGATTCTTAACCACTGCGCCACCAGGGAAGCCCAGATTTCCTTGAGTTTCATTTTGACATTGGTTGGCTTGATTTCTCATAGTGAAAGCAAATATAAGCTCTAGATGGCAAAGATTTTGTGTAGATTTGTGCATTCTCATTTGCATTGGCTTTTCTGTCCAAACACATTTTAAAGGCTCCCACTTCAGTGTAGACTGGCATACAGTTCTTGCTGCTGTAGTGAAGGCTGACGTCATGGAAATGACCTAAGCCCCTGTTTAGGGGTGACAAACAGCAAGGTTGACTCTGGGTTGAATATTTATCTAGATCCCTGTGGTTGCTGTTGTTTTTAAAGAATTGTTTAGATTTAACATCAGAAACATTATTTTATGTCTCTGAGATTTGAAATTATTTTAAAGTCTTGGGTAATATTTATTAATTCCATTGCCTTTATCAGCTAAGAAGAAAACCTAGTTACACACCTTTTGCAATACACAAGGATTAAAATTATTTAATGATCTCCCTGAGTAACTTTGTGCCAACACTAAGAAGAACCCAGGAGAACACTGCACCTCCACTTACCCACGTCACTTCAGCTATCTCATCACTGACGGATATGGTTGGAGTTTTCAAAACAACCATAATATTTGTTAATTAGTTTCTAATTTAAGAAATGCATGCTTGTCATAGATGTAACCTGGATCTTAGCCAAGAAGGCTGAGATTTAGAGAAAATTAGTTTAAGCTTCTAATTCCATATCCATGGGAATTCCAATGCCTGTCTCCAGATTTCTGAAAATTCCCAGGGGCGTAAATTCTCAGTCACATACGGCTCTAGTTTCCTGCTTTTGCCGAACTTTTGTCCTCGTGGGCTTCTTACCTCCCATGGCTGGTCTCTTCCCTGCTCTGCACACTCAAATATGAAATTCATCTCCTGTCCCTGATATCCTGCAAAAACACACAAAGCGTTTATGTATGTGATGGACTTTATCAGATGTTCGTGAAATAGGAGTTCATGTTATACCAAAGCAAACAAGTACAGTAAGCTCCCTACATACGAACCTTCAAGTTGTGAACTTTCAAAGATGCGAACTTGCTTTTGCATGTCCAATCACAAAAGTTAGTTCATGTGTCTGGTGTACATTATCACGTGCATGCATCCTCTACAAGTGGTTGTGGTTTTGTGTACTTTACTGTCCAGTACTGTGTAGAGCACAGTAGTACAGTATCTTTATTTCAAGCCTAGGATGTCCGGAAACAAGAGTAAAACAGCTGGTACTACCGTACTTTTCAAGGTACTGTACTGTAAGATTAAAAATGTTTTCTTTACTTTTTGTGTGTTTGTTTTTTAGGTATCATTTGTGTGAAAAGTATTATAAACCTATTACAGTACAGTATGATACAGCTAATTGTGTTAGTTGGGTACCTAGGGTGAGTTTGCTGGACTTACGAACAAAGTGGACTTATGATTGCGCTCTCGGAACGGAACCCGTTCGTATGTAGGGGACTTACTGTATAAAGATGAGGATGAGACCTACCTGTTCTTTTGGCAACTCTGCCCCAGGAAGTTTTCACTGGCTACTTTTCTCCTGTAATCCTGGTGTCTTGTCACCCGCCATCATACCTGTATCTCTCCCTGCTTCTTTCTCTGTCCTCCACACCTTTGCCCCTTACTCTTAGGACAGGTTGTAGCATCACTTCCCCTCTCCCATGCCCTTCCCTGCAGGAGGATGACGTGCCCTACCCTGTAGAGTGGCTGTGTCACGTGCTTTGGCCAACGACATGTGACACAGGTAATGCGGGTTACATCGGGCAAAAGATTTCAGAGTCAGATCATGGTTCATCAGCTCTTTCTCCTCACACTGATGACTGGCAAGGTTCCAGAAAGAAAATGCTCTGGAAGCCTGGGTCTGGGGTACAGGCAACAGGGAGCTTGTATGCTCAGTGCACTTACCAATTCGAGGAAAATATCCATATTCTCTGGATTTTTCTTATGTGACCAGGCCATCTATGACTAAACATAATTTTTTCCCCTTCATTTCTAATTCCTTTATCTTCTTATTTTAGCAATGGTTTAGAATCCCCTGTGAAGTGTTGAGTAAACTGAGGGTAGCAAGAAACTCTGATACATTATCAGCCTCAGGGGAGGCCTCCATAAGTGTAATGACTGCAGCAGGCTTTTTGTAGATACCTTTTATCAGATTAAGGAAATCCTCTTCTATTCCTAGCTTTCTACATGTTTCTAACATAAGCAGATACTGAATTTCACCAAATACTTTTTCTGTGCATATTTGAAATGATCATATGACCTCTCTCCTATTTCTCCATTAAAGTGGTGAATTATAATAATTAATTTTTGAATGTTAAAGCAACCATACATTGCTAAAATAAAAAAAAATTCATATATCACTGGATTTGAACTGCTATATTTTATTTAGGATTTTTGCATCTATATTCATAAAGAGTTTGGCTTATATTTGATTTTTCTTGTAATGTCCTTCTCAGGTTTTCTATCACAGTTTTACTGGCCTCATAAACGAGTTGGCATTCTTTGGACCCGGGCTTGGAATTTTCTTTCTGTAAGTCTTCCATTTCTTTTGGTTCAGTTTGGGTGAATTGTGTTTTTCTAAGAATTTTTTCTTTTTAAAATTTTAAATTATGACCACAAGATTCTGCAAATAACTTTTACAACTTTTTAATGTTTGTTAGGTCTTTTGTGATATCCTCTCTTTTATTCCTGATATTGACCTGTGCCTTCTCTCTTTTTTTCCTTGATTAGCTTTCCTTTGGGAGTAAAGGGTGTATTCGTTATGTCTTGCTGCATAACAAATTACCCTAAGTCTCAGTAGCTTCAAACTAGAAGCATTTATTATCTCACACAACTTGTGTGAGGGGGTGGGTCCTGGGGATGACTTAGCTGGCTGTCTGGCTCGGAGTCTCCCTTGAGGTTGCAGTCAAGGTACTGTCTGAGATTGCACTCATCTGGGAATGGACCTGAAGGGTCTCCTTCCCCGTTAGCTAAGTCACATGCTTGGCGTGTCATTGCTGGTTGTTGGCAGGCGGTTCGGATTCCTCAAGGCCTCTGTTCTTCACCATGTGAATCTCTCTCTAGGGCTGCTGGAGTGTCTTCACAACATAGTAGGTGGCCTCCCCCAGAGATAGGGATCCAAGTGACAGCAAAGTCTTGAAATCACACATCATCAGTTCCACTTACTCCTCTCATTGGAAGAGAGTTAAGAGGTACAGCCCACACACAAAGAGAGCAGGATTAGGGTCCACTTTTGAGAAGATTGTCAGAGAATTTGTGGACACATTTAAAAGCCCCTATAGAAAGATATCGATTTTATTAACGTTTTCAAAGAACCATTATTTTGCTTTGCTGATTCTCTTACAGATTTCGTCCCTATTTCATTAATTCCTATTATTTGCTGTTTTCTCCTCTCCACATTTCACCAGTGTAACCAAGTCCCTGCAGTAAATTCATTCCATCGGACGCTGATACAGGTCTGATACTCCTTTGAATGTTTGGAAAAAACAAAACAAATCAATTATACGCCCCTCATCTCTCACTTACACACACACACACACACACACACACACACACACACACACACACACACATTTTGTTGATCTGTTGGCAGATTCAGGAAGGTTATGAACCATGGTTCTTACATTGGTAGAATGTGAGTTTTAAGATGCATTTTTTTCCAAAGGGATAACTTACGGTGTTGAGTCAGACACACTCACTCACTCATATTGCCTCCCGTTAACACCAAAAGCTCAGACTTCTGCTGCAGCTGGCCTACCCCAGGGAGCCAGCCTGTGGTCCTGGAACCAAAGTCCTCTCATTCCATACGGGAACCAGAGGCATGACCTTGGCAAATGAGGCTGCCATGTCAAACGTTTGGGCTGGACACCTCAGATATTGCCAGATATTGAGCATTTTGCCCCGAATGCTACTAGCAAAATATTCCTATAAAACGAACATTTTTCAAGGTCAGTCTGTGTCTTTAGGGGCTCAGTGCTTGGACCTCAGCCATGAGGCTCCCCTGACCAATTTGAAAGTGTAGCTTTTTGCTCTGTGTTGGAATAAATGTTCACCTTGCTATAAAACATCGGTTCTCTTTCGGGTCTAAGTAATTTCCCTTCCCTTCTGCTTGCCTACCTTGAGGTGTTAAGAGCGCGCGTGGCCAGAAGAGTGGTCTTCTGCCCAGTCTGGAAGCTTGGCCAGAGGAACTGGTGTTCTTGTGTACTGAGGTCATCTTTCAAAAGTACCAGACGGTTTTTCGTCCTTCTCACCCAAACGTGACGTTTCCTGGCAGCCATTCCACCACCAAAGTGCCAGGAAAGGGGACTACAAATGCCTCCTAAAAGTACAGGATAGGGGATGTCTCTATCAGGGAAGAAGGAAGGGGAAAGCCCACCCCTTCTGGCCTCAAAAAAACTGCGGGAGGAAGGAGGCTGTCAGAAGCAGGTGAGTAAGTAGGGAAAGAGGTGTGTTCTGACCCTCTCCCAGCTGAAGTGAGGAACCTCCCAGCTAAGCCTCCAGAGGCTTCCTCAGCTCCTGGGGCTGGGGCGGGAGGGCGAGGACATTGTCCCCTTTTTCCTGGTCCCCCTAGAAGATCACAGGGATTGATGGCGTTGGCTGGGAGGTTGACTCGGGGAGACGGGTGTTGCTGCCTTGTGGTGAGGGACACTGTAGCTGCGGGCCAGATGGCAGATCATCCCGACCAAGAACTGGCCATGCAGCACAGCTAGACCTCAGGGGACACGCGGTCCTAGAGAGGATTGACTTAGACTCCAGATAGCAGGACTGCCGAGCCCAGACAGAACCAAGGAGGGCAGGCTTCAGCCTCTGGTGCCAGCAGGGCTCCTGTCGATCAGGTGGACAGCGGCATCCTCATACAGACTACAGGAGCCGGAAGGGACCGTGGGCCTGTGGCCCGTGTGGATCCGAGGTCTTTCTCGTCACCTTTAGGTCACACAGACCAGCTGTCTTGTATCAACACCTCCAGATGCCCTCTTGGAGATAAGCGAGGTGAAAAGGGATTAAAAAGTACAAAACGTTTATCCAAAAGAAGCTGAGTTCTCTAAAGAGACTGTTTTACATTATTAGATCAGATTGAATTTCCTTACATCCATCGTGGAAAATGAAGAAGTTATGTTTTCTTTGCAAATCGGAGTGCCGCTGGTAAATTTGCAAACCTGATACGAATTGATGCACAAAGATGATAATTTTAGCTGCTAGAAGCAAGGCTACAGAGTGGGACTGTTCTGAGCTGAGCTGTTCTTGTGTCCTTCCGCATGGGAATCGGTGTCAGAATGAGGGGGACTAGACTGCATCTGTGGAGAGCGGCTTTTCTTTGGTGGGAAAAATAATTAGCCTGGAGGTAGCTTTCATCAAGTTCTGCCCCAGGCCCATTATTATGAAGGGAATGAGTCGTCTCATCAAGAACACACCAAGGACTTCTCTGGCGGTCCAGTGGTTAAGACTGCCTTCCAGTGCAGGGGGTGTGGGTTCAATCACTGGTCGGGGAGCTAAGATCCCACATGTCTCACAGCCAAAAATACCAAGGCATAGACCAGAAGCAATATTGTAACAAATTCAATAAAGACTTTAAAAATGGTCCACATCAAAAAAAAAAATCTTAAAAAAGAAAAGAACACCCCAGTTCCTTTCTTAGGACCTTCCTCCCTCCACAGGGCTTGGAATTTGGAAGGAGATTGTTTAAGTTCAAGCTCTGGCTCTGACTGGGTGGGCAAGTCGATAGACTTTCCTGAGATTCTGTCTATCACATGGGGATTGAGACATGTGTACCCCTAATCCTCGTGGCTTCAGAAAGAGCTGATGGAGGGTAACAGAAAGTACTTTTTATAAACCGAAAAGTCCTAATCCTGTGCCCATTCCAAGCTTCCAGATGCCTTCCTTTTCCTGCAGTTTCCTTTTTGCATCCTGCGTGTTCCAGGCTTTTCCTCCGGGCTCTGTTCTGGCCTTCGGCTGAGCAGAGGTTTGTTCCTTTGTATCAGGTCCCGTGCTGGGTCCTGGAGATCTTGAGGCCAATAGATCCAACATCTCCCCTCGAGGAACTTCTTGTCCACTCTCAGGCACTGTCCTGCCTTCTCCTGGCAGGCGACTTTCCCTTCGGATGTTACTGGTTATGAATTCTCCTTGGTAGAATGGGCTTGAAAGTGGGATTCTGTAACTAGAGTAGGCCCTTCAGGAAATGGGTCCAACGTCTGAGATATATGACTCGTCAATTTTTCAGTAAGTATAATGCCCTAAACCAGGCTCATTTAGAGTGGAATCTGGAGGGCAGTGCCCTGGACCTTAGGATGCGAATAGCGGGCTTGGGTGGCTCACCTGGGTCAGCAGGTGCTGAGTTGGATGGCGAGGGCAGCTTACCCTCTTCTGTCCCAGGGGTCAGACTTTTTATCACCCACAGGCTTGCCTGTCGCTACCTAGCTTCCCTGTTGGCATCCTCAACAGATATGGAGAGACCTATTTGGTTGGAAACCCAGAAAAATTCTTTCATTCACCCTCCTAGCACACCCTTTCGTGAAGACCTAGATTTCACAGGGGGCACAAAACTAGGACCAAGTCAGAGAGGGAGACAGCCTGGAAATAAGGTATAGACTCAGGGAACTGTTGATGCTTCCGCCTGAGCCCACAAGGCAGTCTGGAGGCAGAATTCTCTCTTCTTTGGGGGAGTCCATCTTTTTTCTCTTGAGGCCTTCAACTAATCAGACGAGGCCCCCCACACACACACATTATGGAGGCTAATGTGTTCTACTCAAAGTCCACTGATTTAAATGTTAATCTCATCTTAAAAACTGCATTCACAGCAGTGTCTGAATCAGTGTTTGGGCAAATATCTGGAAATGGTGACCTGGCCAAGTTGACACGTAGAATTAACCATCATGTAAGTTCAAAGAGGCATGGCGTGGGCCAGTGTGGTAAGCCTGGGGCTCTAACACATAAGGAAGGTGTTAATAATGGACATCAATGGGAAGCCACCCTTCCCCCATCACTGCATCATGAAGATTCAAGGAAAGGAAAGTACCTTTTGGAGCATTACCTCAAAGCCTGGCTTTACAGAACATTCTGGAAAAGATCTAGAAAACTGAAGCCTAAGATGAGCTTCCTGTTCCCACACTTGGATGAAAAATTACTGGGTCATTCTTGTTGCAGTTGGTTGTAGGGTGGATGTTAGCCCACACAGTACTTCTTTTTTTTTTTTTTAATTTCCGCTATGTTTTGACATTTCAATCTATTATCTTTTTTTTTTTTTTTTTTTTTTTTGCTGCACCACACAGCATGTGGGATCTTAGTTTTCCGACCAGGGATAGGACCCGTACCTCTTGCAGTGGACGCATGGAGTCTTAACCACTGGACCACCAGGGAAGTCCCAGTACTTCTTTTTGAATTAGAAGAAAGACTCCCTTTCATGGACAAATCAGAAAATAGCCCCTCCTGGGCAGTTGGATTAGAAAAGGGTAACCCTTCTGGGCAGACAAAGGAGGAACAGGTGCCTATGTTCTCCTGTGGGTGTGGCCTCAGCCATGGAGCAAAGCCTGGCACATGAAGTGCACGCTGGTTTCCCAGAGTGACCTGCTTCCTCAGTTGGGTAACTTTTGTGCACAATGCGACCTGCATTGGTGGTTGGTAGAGAGACGCGCTGATAGTGAAAAGGACACCTAGAGGTCATCTAGTCCACCCACTCCCGTCTTGGAGATGGAAACACTAAGTCCCAGAGAAGGACAGAAGGTGACTTCGTTCATGCAATACCTCTTTAGCAGGGCAACAGTGAGAGGACACAGCAGCTCCCAGAAGGAGAGCCCTCCGTCTTGCCAGCCTGGTCCACCCTACACCAGGCGTGAAGCCAGCAGGAAGGAGAGACGATGACACCCCTCCAAGGACTCCAGGCCTGATATGGATCCCAACTGTTGACAAAATGCAGGCTGGCGTCAAGGATTTGGGGGGACAGCGTCTTTGCTGACGGTTCTTTTCCTCCTCGTATGTGTGTGGTAGTGGACGCATCTCATCTGCGTTGTAAAAGTCAACTGCGTTGACTTGTTTTACAAACCTTCTGAGCACCTACCGTGTCCGTGAGACTCCAAGGCGAATAAGGCAGAGTCTCTGCCACCAGGAGGTCACCGGATATTCATGGCAGGCGCATGAATAGACAAGAATGGCACAGACTTCCAAGGCGACCCATGGAGCATTGTGGAAGCAATGAGCATGTGCCTTTAGCTGACCCATCCCTGGAGCCAGAGGGGTCCGAGTAACTCGTGCATCAGTATTTTGAGAAAGAGTTCATCAGAGCAGATGAACGTGTACTCTAGGAAGAGAAGCATAGATTTTTCTCAGTTGCTTCCTCTCCCTCTCCCCTTCTCTGTCCCTCTCCCCGCCCTTCCCCTCCCCTCTCCTCCTACCCTCTCCTCTCCTCTCTTCTCTTCTTTTCCTTCCTCCCTCCCTCTTTTTCTCCTTTCTTCTCTAAGACACAGATGAAAGAATACTCACCTCTCAAAATCAAGTTTGCCAAAGCAGTGGTCTAATTGGGCCCTGGGAGATTGGTCAAAGGGTGTTGTTTTTCTGGTAGATCCTCACGAATGGAATTCTTATTAGTCTTCCAGTCTCCTTCATTAACATGCATTTTCTCTCCCTCTCTGCATCTTGCTCCCAACTCCAGGGCTGCTGAGCCCAGCCTTTGTCTCGACTCAAATGCCGATAGGCTGTACAGTGAGAATCTTCAAGAGTGTGTGAAGCCAGGCACGCGTGTGGTTAGTCAGAAGAAATGGTTGCTGGAAATGCTGGTCCTCAGAATGACATCTGCTGGGTGGCCTCTCAGAGGGTGGGAGCTGCTTCCCTCCCAAGTCAGGCTCTGCCTAAGCGAGGCTTAGTGATGGAAGCTACTGTTTATTACCCACCAACTCTGCGCCAGACGCTGTGTTCCGTGCCTTACCCAAACCACCTCCTCAGCACAACGTGTGGCAGGAAGTGAGCATCCTGGTCCCTACTGACAGATGAGAAGAATGAGGCTGAACAAGGTCCAAGAACATTCCAAGGTCACACGGAGGGTAAATGGCAGAGCCTAGACCTGAATATGGATCTAGGTGACACACGGCCTGTTACAGGTGCAGGCGAAGAATAAAGACAGAGACAGGTACATTCTGCCCCCACCCACCCCACCCTTGGGTGCCCGAGCTGGCACAGAGCAAGACAGTCATGGCTCTGGAACTTTTTCTCCCAAGGGCTCCAGGGGCTCAAGAGAGAACAGGGCACTGCCTGTCCCCAGCCACCACAGCAAGGGTCCCAGGGAAAAACCATGTCTGTGGCAGGGAATAGTCAAGTGGACAGATGACTTTGCCTCCAAGCTGGACCGTTGTTTAGGGACAGGATTGTCCTCCTAGGGAACACCGGCCATCCCAGGTGCTGTGGACTGAATTGCGTCTCCTCCAAAGATGCTGAAGTCCTAACCCCAGTACCCGTCAATGTGACTTTTATTTGGAAACAAGGTCTTTGTAGATGATCCAGTAAAGACGAGGTCATCAGGGTGGACCCTAATCCAGTATGGCTTGTGTTCTTATGAAAAGAAGGAAGTTGGACACAGAGACAAACACACACAGGGAGAACTCTGTGTGAACATGAGAGTGGAGATTGGGGTGATGATTCTACAAGCCGAGGAGCCCCAACGATTGTCAACAAACCAGAAAAAGCTGGAGGAGAGGCATGGAACAGATTCTCCATGACAACCCTCCAAAGGAACCAACACTGCCAAGACCTTGATTTTGGGCTTTTAGCCTCCAGAACTGGGATACAATACATTTCTGTTGTTTAAGCCACCCAGTCTGTGGTACTTTGTTATGACAGCCCTAGGACACTGATACACCAGAGCTCCTGGGATGTGTGTCCTGCATTCAGCCCTGTCGTCAGGCCTGGACTGAGAAACTCCAGGGAGCCCTGGTGCCGTCGCCTGACTTGAAAGGACCCAGCATTGCTGTCTGGTGCCAAGAGAGGCCAGAAGGTGCACAGCCATCGTCAGGACTGGATCCCTGCTGTGTTAAGTAAGCACTGTAGCTCATCTGCCAAGTGGTGGGGTCCCTGGTTACAAAGAACCAGACGGAAATCCAATTGCACTCTCGAGGCTGCTACAGGGGAAGACGGTGTTTGTGTCCTGTGCTATTCCAGGGATAATTAGCATCAGAAGATTAGATTCATAATGCCCCATTCATTTTCTCCGCTCGTCACTGGTGTCTGGTGGAGAATTGGAGTTCTTAATCCCGCACGCTCTAAGTGAATGCATATTGAACAGTTTTGACAGCTTGGAAATTTCGTTGCAGGTACTTGATGACTTCCCACGTCAGGATCAATTTGCAGCCTTGTTTTTTCAGCTGATTAGGTCCCATCTAATTTTCTTGAGCCAGGGTTTCAGAGAATCCGGCGTCTTCCATCTCTACCATGAAGGGATGCAGGGTGGTGATGGTCCCAGGGAGGCTGGGTTTGAGATCTGATATCCAGAATCACTGAATCCACCAGGACTCCTCTTATGTTTGCTCAAGGAAAAAACAGTGAACTCTCTACTAAAGAAAATTACACAATGCAGCTTTGGCCCAGAGATTCTGGGAGAAGTCAGCAAGAACATACACAGAGCTTCTAGCTTGGACTACACAGAGGACAGAGGATGAAGAATAAAGGATGAGAGTGTGGATGTGGCTCCTGTGCACACCCAGCTCTACCATTTCCCTCTCTATAGGACCTTGGGCCAATTACTTGCACTTCCTAAGTTTCCTCATCAATAACGTGGGGATCGTTGTAATAGAAACCTTATACGGTTGTTGTGAAGATTAAATGAAATACTACATGTAAAAGTTCTCTGCTTGGTGCCTACAGCATAGTAAGCGTTCAATGAATGTTAACTTTGAAGCAAAGTTCCTCACGGAAAAAAGACAATTCCTCTTCCTTCACCTTCCTCTCCCCCCTCCTGCGTCTCCTCCTTTTTCCCTGTTCTCTATCCTCAGTCAAAGAAAGTCTACAGCACGGTCCAGCAGAAATGCAGGGAGAGCCACATGTGTCGTTTTGTTTTCTAGTAGCTATGTTAAAAAGGTACAAAAAGAAAAAAACAAACTGGAAGATACAGAGAACAGATTGTTGGCTGTCAGAGGTCAGGAGTCGGGGGGAGGTGTGAAATGGGTAAAGGGGGTCAGGAGGTACAAACTTTCAGTTATAAAATAAGTCCAGGGGATGCAATGTACAGCATGTGACTATAGTTAATGATACCGTATTGCCTATTTGAAAGTTGTTTCAGAGAATAGATCTTAAAAGTTCTTATCACAAGAAGAAAATTATAACTATGTGTGGTGACGGATGTTAATTAGACTTATTGCGATGATCATTTCATAATACATGGAAATATTGAATCATTATGTAGCATACCTAAAACCAATATAATGCTATATGTTAATTATACCTCAATAAAAAAACAGAATTTGGAAAAAAAGGTACAAAGATACAGGTGAAATTAATTTTAATAACATATTTTATATAAAGCAATATAGTATAGATCATGTAATCAGTGTAAACATTATTAACGGGATACTTTACATTGTATTTCTCCTACTGTGTCTTCACAAGCCAGTGTGTATGCTATGCTAACAGCACATCTCACTCTGGACTGGCCACGTTTCAAGTGTTCAATGAGCCACATGGGGCTACTGGTTGGGATACTGGGCAGTACAGCTCTAGACGTGCTGGAGCTTGTGATTCCCCTAGAAATTTTCCACTTGTTCCCATTATCTCAATCTCCTGGCCTTCTTGTGCTGGGGTGACAAGGACACATCATGACTCTCAGGTGAGTCAGGAGCTTCCCTCGGAAGCGGTAGCCAAGGCAGGAAATTCTGTTCCCACTGCAGACACTGCCACCTGGTTTTAGGTGCTCAGTGAGACAACTTAGCCCTTGATAGTCTGGGGATCAAGAGATGAATAACAGGGCTTCCCTGGTGGCGCAGTGGTTGAGAGTCTGCCTGCCAATGCAGGGGACACGGGTTCATGTCCCGGTCCGGGAAGATCCCACATGCCGTGGAGCGGCTGGGCCCGTGAGCCGTGGCCGCTGAGCCTGCGTGTCCGGAGCCTGTGCTCCACAACAGGAGAGGCCACAACAGTGAGAGGCCCGCGTACCTCAAAAAAAAAAAAAAAGAGATGAACACACACCATCCTGACTCTTCATGAATTCATAGTATAGTGGGTGGTCTATGTGCAAAATAATTACTGTTCACTGTCATAAGAGCTGTGATAAAAGTTCGTTAAAGTTGTTGATGAAACTTGAGAGATGGGTGATATATGTAAGATAAAGTTTAAAAATGTAAATTCTATATATGATCATGGCTATTAAAGTTCTCTTGGTTGCTAGAAATAGAAACCTTAAGCCCAAGGGTGCCTACTAAGCATGTTATATGAAGAATTTAGAGGAATTATGCAAATCAAGGAAATCCTAAATCCCAGTCAAGGATGCAGTCAGCTTTCGCAGACACACTGGAGCAGCGTTAAAGATTCAGGCAGATCTTTCTTATGTGTTCTGCTCAGCACGCATTTTTGATACTTCGCTTGCCCTGCAGTCCAGCTTTCTTTCTCTAGTTCACATGGAGGAATTCAGTCACTGGTAATGGCTCCAGAATGTGTCATCCAGACACAGAGAGCAGACAGGCTGATATTTCGATATCTTAATTCGAATTTGAAATTGGTGAGAAAAGACTTTGATTCAGCTTGAATCCAATAGAGCTTGAGTTAGGTAGCCAGGAGACAGGGCAACATCGTGTAAACGCGGCTTCCTCTTCTCCATGTAGATGGAGGAGAACAAAGTCCTTTTCCAGAAAAATAAGAGAGGGTGAGCGAACCAAGCCATAGATGTTCACTACATTCTTCCCCTTGACTTCCCAGCATACAGGCTTACACGCATGTGCAAACATACATGCACACATCCTTTTCCCTCATACATGCAAATAGGGCTCTAGCTCGTGTGATTCACCAAATTCCTTTTCCCCTATGGGAGGTGAGCTGAAGTCCCATCTGGCAAGGAAATCTAACACGATGTTGACCCTCTCTTTTCCAGGCTCACAGTCTTTGGGGATTATCCCTTCTTCTACTCATTTTCTTTCTTTTTTTTTTTTTTTTAAGATTTTTTTGATGTGGACCATTTTTAAAGTCTTTATTGAATTTGTTACACTATTGCTTCTGTTTTATGTTTTGGGTTTTTTTGGCCGCGAGGCATGTGGGATGTTAGCTCCCTGACCAGGGATCGAACCCGCACCCCCTGCATTGGAAGAAGTCTTAACCACTGGACCACCAGGGAAGTCCCCTTCCACTCATTTTCTTTTGAAGGTGATTTAGAGGAACAAACGAGGCAACGGGAAATCCCAGGATGCCCAGACTCCTCTGGCCTCTCCCAGACATGACATCTAAGTGCCGTAACTCTACCGTTTTCTGATCAGGACACTAACTTTAGCTTTATGATGAACCGGCCAAGTTGACTGCTGCAGTTTGCAAGGTATATGATTATTTGATCCTCAGCTGCCTCAGATTTCTGGTGATGTCCATAAAAGGCCTTGTTTCACAGAGTCACATACTTTATGCTATTCTCTATCAATTTTTAGAATGGCTATCTTGGACTGGAGTTTGTATCTCTCATCTTGTACCATAAAGTCTAAAGAAGTAACTGAAACATGCTAAAATCCTACGAAATTACTGTTGAATCAAGTCCCAAGAGCAAATAGGCAACAGTTTCACTAATTATGTCACTATTTCATGGAAAAGATTGCCACCTTCCCAGACAAGGATAGGAGGGTGAGCATGTTACTGACCAGAGTTCTTGGCCTCCTCAATAAATAGAAATTGATCAGAGGCCAGAAAAGAAATTCAGGCAAGGCTTTATTGGAACCCCTGCTGCAGCAGAGGGGAGCGAGAACAAACACCAGGTTCCCTTGCTCACTAGCTGGGGGTGGGGGGGCGAGCTTGCTCCTTATATGGGGTGAGGGTAGGGGTGTGTCCAGGGGTCGGGCTGGAGGGATGGCTTAGGTGTTTTGCCCACCCCTTAGGTGGTGTCGTATGCAGGGGGCATGCGCCGTACCCTGCTTTTGTCCCCGCTCTTCAGAAATGGCACTTGGGTTTTTAGTCTTTTTGTATCTTGTTGTCCGTAATTCGCCCCAACTGTGCATGCATGCAGTTATTTTAAGTCCCTTATAGTTTCTTTGTATTTTGTTTCTCAAGGAGATGTTTGTCCAGGTGCAAGCACTGCAGCAAAGGGTCCCAGGTCCCAGGTCCCAGCCTGTCTCAAGCACATCCTCACTTCTCTCCTCACCACACTCCTTTTAAAATCCTGATAATTGAAAATCTCCACTGCTCGCAGCAACTTCTGCATTAGTTAAGCTTCGTTTGGTCAACAATAGCAGAGATGGACCATGGCTAGCTTAACTTAAAGAGGACATTTGTTGCTATGGCCATGCCTTGAGATGGACAGGGACCAGGGCAGATTCAGTGGTCCTAGTTGGAGGGATTCACAAGCCTTCACTCTGGAGGACTCTAACATAGCTCAGTTTAAAGGTGCTCAGGTGCTGCGTCTCTCAGTACAAGATTCAGACCCTTGGTAGGGATGATTAATGGCTTAGCTTGAGTCAGATGCCTACCCGTGGCCAGTGAAGCAGAATCACCTAGTACAGACATAGCTGAGGGGTCTGTTCATGTCGATCGGGTCCAGCTCCTGGGGAATGGGCAGTTGTGGTGAGGTCTACATAGACTTAAGAGTTAGATGAGCTTCACATGATTGTTGTTATTTCTCTTCTAAATCTTTACAAGAAACTTTTTGGCTTTTTCCTTCAATTTTCTAACTATAATGTATTTGCGAACACTATAGATATAATCCACTCTATCATTAAATGGAATTCCAAGCTTTCTTCCACTTTTTTTTTTTTTTTTTTTTTTTGCGGTACGCGGGCCTCTCACTGTTGTGGCCTCTCCCGTTGCGGAGCACAGGCTCCGGATGCGCAGGCCCAGCGGCCACGGCTCATGGGCCCAGCCGCTCCGCGGCATGTGGGATCCTCCCAGACCGGGGCACGAACCTGTGTCCCCTGCATCGGCAGGCAGACTCTCAACCACTGTGCCACCAGGGAAGCCCCCCCACTTTCTTTTAAGCTTCAACTTCTCCACTCATGTATTTAATTTATCTGTCTGTCCACAGGAAAATTTTGAGTAGTTTTTGCAAGAAAGGTATCTGAGTGATGGGATGTATGGTCATGTGTTTGTCTATGATGTCATTCTTTGCCTTCTCTCATTAAAAAATTATTGTATGTAGATTTCTTTTCCCCAAAAACGTTCTGCAAAAAACTCTCATTATCTTCTGGAATTTAATATTGTGAAGGAAAAGTCTGAGCCAGCTGATTTTCCTTCTAGGAAACTAATTTCTCTGCCTGTGTACTACTTTGACTTTTTCCATTATCTTTGAAGGTATTTTTGTTGTTGTTGTTGTGGTAGTGGAGGGGAGGGATTGGGTTTTTTTGTTTGTTTGTTTGTTTTTTGCAGTACGCAGGCCTCTCACTGTTGTGGCCTCTCTCATTGCAGAGCACAGGCTCCGGATGCGCAGGCTCAGCGGCCATGGCTCACAGACCCAGCCGTTCCGTGGCATGTGGGATCTTCCCGGACCGGGGCACGAACCCGTGTCCCCTGCATCGGCAGGCGGACTCTCAACCACTGCACCACCAGGGAAGCCCTGTTTTTGTTTTTTGATTAAAGGAAAACTAGGAAAGTTGGAACAGGTACATTAAGTCCCCCACATACGAACGAGTTGCATTCCCAGAGCACATTCGTAAGTCCAATGTATTTTTAAGTCCAACAAAGTTAGCTTAGGTACCCAGTTAACACAACTGGCTATATAGTACTGTACTGTAATTGGTTTATAATACTTTTCACACAAATAATACATTAAAAAACAAATAAAAAGTAAAGAAAACATTGACTCTTTCAGTACAGTACCTTGAAAAGTACAGTAGTACAGTACAACAGCTGGCATCCAGGGGCTGACATCGAGTGAACAGGAAAGAAGAGTTACTGACTGGAGGAGGGAGAGGAGGTGGGAGATGGTAGAGCTGAAGGATCGTCAGCAACAGGAGACGGAGGGCGAGCGGTGATGTCACTCACGCCTGACGTGGATGGCACAGGTTCTGGTTCCTTGCTGGAACTAGATGCACATTTGCATCTTTGAAAGTTTGCAACTTGAAGGTTCATATGTAGGGGACTTACTGTATTAGGTTTTCCTTCCAGAAACCTACAGTAAGAATTTATATGAGTACTAAAAAGACACCGTCAAAACTAAAACCCCG